TTGTCAATCATCAACTTCAGAGGTTTGTCTACTTTAATCTTCAGATCCTGTAACAGATTCAGAATCCACACAGCTTGGCATGCAGTAACAGCACCTGCAATGTATTCAGCTTCACAGGTTGATAACGCCACAACAGGTTGCTTCTTGGAACATCAAGAAATGGGACCTCCTAGAAATTTGAACAAGTATCCAGAGGTACTTCTTCTGTCAACTCTGTCTCCACACCAATCAGAGTCTGAATAACTCAGAAGTTCTGACTCATTATTTCCTCTAGAGGGAAATAACACTCCATACTTCAGAGTTCCTTTGATATACCTCAGAATCCTGACAGCAGCTTGGTAATGGGACCACTTAGGTTTACTCATGAACCTACTAACCATCCCAACTGAGTAGCAGATATCAGGTCTGGTATTGCACAGATACCTCAGAGAACCAACCAACTGTTTGAAGGTTGTAGCGTCCACATCCTTTCCTTCAGAGTCTGAATCCAGTTTTTGATTTGTATCAGAAGGTGTGACAGCCATCTTACAATTCTTCAGATCAAATCTCTTCAGAAGTTCTAATTCATACTTGAGCTGATGCAAAATGATACCTTTCTCAGAATATCTGAACTCCATCCCTAGAAAGTATGTCATTTTGCCTAGATCAGTCATTTCAAATTCATTCATCAGAACTTTCTTGAACTTGGCTATCTCCTGTTCAGAACTTCCAGTCAATAGTATATCATCAACATATAAGCATACCAGAGTCATATTGCCTTCAGAAGTATGCTGAACATAGACACCGTACTCCATCTCACATTTCTGAAAGCCTTGCTTCTTGAAAAATGAATCAATCTTCTGATTCCAAGCTCTGGGCGCTTGTTTCAATCCATATAGAGCTTTGTATAATCTGTACACCATCCCTTCCTGATTCTTTTTCACAAATCCAGGAGGTTGTGACACGTAAACTTCTTCTTCTAATGGACCATTCAGAAATGCAGATTTTACATCTAAATGCATCAGAGGCCAATTCCTGTTAGCAGCTATTGCAATCACCATTCTGATTGTTTCATGTCTTGCTACAGGTGCAAACACTTCAGAATAATCTAGCCCAGGTTTCTGTAGAAATCCTCTGGCTACCAACCTTGCTTTATGTTTGCCAATTGAACCATCTGGCTTTAACTTCTGCTTGAAAACCCATCTAACGCTGATGGCTTTCTTGTCTTTTGGAAGTTCTGTCAGCTTCCAAGTCTTGTTTCTCTCTATAGCATCAAGTTCTTCTTTCATGGCCTTCAGCCAGAGCTTCTGCTTAAGAGCCTCCTCTGTACTTATAGGTTCAGAGTCTACTAACATGGCACACTGAATAACTTCTCCTTCAGAGTCTACTTCAGTATCTTGCAGCATGTCAAATTCTGCAAATCTTTTGGGAACGCTTCTGATTCTTTGTGGTCTCTGAACTTGTTCAGAGTCTTGAGCTTCAGAGTTTCCAGCTTCAGATGGTTGACTTCCTCTAGAGCTTTGACCATCTTCAAGATCTGGCATATTTTCAGAGTCTTGGCCATCTTCAGAGTCTGAATTTCCACCAGAATCTGGATTACCATCAGAGTCTGGATCATCAGAGTCACCTTCATCTTCTGAGTCTTCTCCAGAGTCAGAATCACTATCAGAGTCAGAATCAACTTCAGAGTTTACTTCAACTTCAGAAGTTCTTAACTCTGACCTTTCTTCAGAAGTTCTAACATCAGAATCAGATTGAGACTTATCCCAATTCCAAACTTCTGATTCCTTCACAATCACATCTCTGCTGAATTCAATTTTATTGGTTTCTGGACAATAGAGCTTGTATGCACCTGTACTGTGGTACCCTATCAGAATCATCACTTTGCTTCTATCATCCAGCTTCTGTCTTCTGTCTTCTGGAACATGTTTATAGCAAACAGAACCAAACACCTTCAGATGACTAACACTTTGCTTGTCTCCAGTCCACTTCTGCATTGGAACTATTTCCTTCAACTTCTTCGTAGGACATCTGTTGAGTACATACGTTGCAGTGGCAACAGCTTCTCCCCAGAGCTTCTGAGGAAGCTTCTTCTCCTTTAGCATGCTTCTCACCATATCAAGCAAAGTACGGTTTCTTCTTTCAGCAAGACCATTGTGTTGAGGGGTATAAGGAGCAGTAACCTCATGCTCAATTCCATTCTCCTCACAGAACTTCTGGAACTCTTTGGAGTTATACTCACCTCCACCATCAGTCCTAAGAATCTTCAACTTCTGACCACTCTGATTCTCAGCCTTCATCCTGAACTTCTTGAATTCATCAAACACCTCATGTTTAAATTTAATAAGGGATAACCATGTCATTCTTGTGAATTCATCAACAAACAACACAAAGTACTTATTCCCTCCAATTGATGCTACTGGAAATGGACCACACACATCAGAATGTACAACTCCCAAGGCATGTTTTGCTCTTGGAGCAACTTCTGACGCAAATGGAAAACGTGGTTGTTTTCCTTCCATGCAAACTTTGCATGACTTCTCAGGCTTCTTAATTGCAGGAATTCCATGTACCAGCTTCTTTGAATTTAGATGTTTTAGGCTTCTGAAATTCAAATGACCAAATCTTCTGTGCCACAGCTCACTCTCCTTCTCAGCACATGTTGCACTAAGACATTCTGAGTCTGCAGTTCTGACATTCACCTTGAATGTTCTATTCCTTCCCTGTTCTGACTCCATAATCAACTTCTGATTGCAGTCATACAGCTTCAGAAGATTATCCTTCATGGTAACTGAAAAACCTTTCTCAATTAATTGTCCCACACTCATCAGATTGCTTCTGATGCCAGGTACATACCACACGTTCTGAATCAATGCTGTTTTCCCATTATTCAGAATCACTCTGACATTTCCCAAACCTTCTGCATTAAGATATTTGTCATCAGCACATCTGATCTTTGTTCTCTTTTCAGAGTCAAAGTCAACTAGCCATTTCTTGTTTCCAGTAAGATGATTTGAACAGCCAGTGTCCATATACCACCAGTCTATCAGATCCATATTATCAGATTCAAAAGCCATTAATAGCACAGATTTGTCATCAGAACTTCTGGCTATATTTGCTTCTTCTGATTTTCTCTCCTTGTTTGACCAACAATCTCTAGCAAAGTGACCAAACTTCTTGCAACAGTAACATTGGATCTTCTTCTTGTCATACTTCTCTTTTCCCTTCTGAGCATTCTTTTGTCTATCAGAGGTTGAGCTTTCTGACTTCTGACCACCATCAGATCTTCTCCTGGCTTCTGACTGCTTCTGATACCTCCTATCAGAAGTTGCTTTCAGAGCCTGCTGCTCTACTTCCTTTTCAGAAGTTCTCTCAGTCAAACGCAACTCTTGCGCTTCTAGACTGCTCTGCAGCTCTTCAATTCTCATGGTGCTCAGATCTTTGGAATGTTCTATTGCTACCACAATGTAATCAAATTGAGGAGTAAGGGATCTCAATACTTTCTCCATTATTGTTTCTTCTGAAAGAGTTTCTCCACACGCCTTCATCTCATTAGTGATCAGAATCATTCTGGAGATGTATTCAGAGACTTTCTCATTATTCTTCATGTTGAGATTCTCATATTGCTTTCTCAAGGACTGAAGCTTCACCTTCTTCACTGATGCGTCACCACCATAACATCTCACCAGTGTGTCCCACGCAGCCTTTGCTGTTGTTGAATCTGCAATCTTCTCAAACACATTTACATCCACACATTGATGAATAAAGAATAATGCTTTCTGATCCTTCTTCCTTACTTCCTTCTGCGCGTTTTTCTGTTCATCCGTTGCATCTGCTGCTACTGGAACATAACCATCAGTGACAAGATCTAGAACATCTTGAGCACCAAATAGTACACGCATTTGGATCATCCAACGATTCTAGTTTTTACCATCAAATACTGGAAGTTTGGTGTTCATGTTGCCGTTTCCGTTCATCTTCTACCTTGCACAATACACTCAGATTTCTCACACAGTGTTTCCCAACCCACAGAATAAAATTCTGATCAGATTTTGTTCAAGATTCAACACGAATCTAAGAATCAAAATCAAACACACAAGACCTCACGTTCACTCGTGTTTCCCGTGTTTCCCAATGAATCTGAACCGGAGCTCTAGATACCAATTGTTGGTGCAAAGGTAAAATAAATGATGAAAGGTAAAAATATTCTATTAAGAATGACGGCAGAAAAACATGATTAAAAGTTACAATAATTGTCACCCTATTTATAAGCTAAAACTAGGGTTACTAGAATAAGATAAAATACTAAAATACCCTCTAACAAACTTAGGGACTAAGGAAAATAGTACAACTAAATAAATATGAATTACTATTAATATTCTAATACATCCCACCCTTTTCACTTTTCTTTATTTTTGTGTCTGCATATTATTTTTCAAGAAAGTGATAGGTGCTTCAAATCTTTTAGAGACTATCACAAGTATTTTCAAAACTATTCTAAAAATAGAAAATCTAGATGCAAGCAATATTACTTTGTTAGCAATGCTAATAAATTTATTTGCATACTTTTTATTTGTTTCACACTCCTTTATTTTTTGCATCTCAAATTCTATGATCAAATTCAGCTTACATTCCCTTAAATCTTTCATCTCCTTCATATTCACTTTTTAAAAAAACTCCAAATTCTATGATTTTCACTGAGTTTTCCTGTTTATGTTCCAAATCTGTTGCTTGCTGGATTTCAGTGTTATTTGGACGTGATACAAGTTTTGTTTTCGGTTCAACCGTTGCGAAATATGTATACTATGATAGAAGCTGGATTTTCTTATAACATAATATTGATTAACATTCAATAAGAACAAATAACTTTGCTACATCACAAGTCAATACACTTTTTTATAGTCTCTTATATTAAAACTGAATTTTATATACAGACAGTGAAACTATAAAACACTTATTAACACACAACCAAACTCTTATCAAATATTCTATTACTTGTGATAGGTGTTTGGCCTGAATCAATGAGCTTTAATGATGAAGGATTCGGTCCTGTTCCAACCCGATGGCGTGGAATTTGTCAAGTTGACGAAGATAATACAGATAATTTTCAGTGCAACAGGTTTATTTTTGAGCCTTATATATGAAACAAATTATTCCTTTTATAAAGGATGTAACAAATATATATCTTACTTTTTTTATTTTAATGCTCATGATACATAGAAAGCTTATTGGAGCAAGATATTTTTACAAAGGCTATTTCGCAGATCTTGGTGATGCTAAAAACGTAACATTTAATAGCGCACGTGACCTCGATGGTCATGGGACACATACTTTATCAACTGCTGGAGGCAATTTTGTAGAAAATGTAAGTATATTTGGCTATGGAAATGGTACAGCAAGTGGTGGATCGCCACAAGCGCGAGTTGCAGCCTATAAGGTCTGTTGGCCGCCACTTGCTATTGGTGGTGGATGTTATGAAGCAGACATTTTGGCTGCTTTTGAAGCCGCCATAAGCGATGGTGTTGACGTGATTTCCGCGTCTTTGGGTGGTAGTCCAGCTGAATTTTTTGAAAGCAGCAGTTCCATAGGATCTTTCCATGCTGTTGCTCAGGGCATTGTTGTAGTAAGTTCTGCAGGAAACACAGGGCCTTCTCCCCACACAGTATCTAACGTGGAACCATGGTCTATCACAGTTGGTGCAAGCACAATGGATCGATCTTTTACTAGTTTTGTTACCCTTGGTAACCTGAAGATACTCAAGGTATTTTATTAAGCAAATTTTGTTTTTGATATAAAAATGTCACTGTTATATGATTATATTTCAATGATGTTCATTCTCTTGATTTTTAGGGAGCTAGCCTTTCAGAATCCAACTTGCCACCTAACAAGCGTTACCCTTTAATAAGCGCAGCCGATGCCCGAGCTCATAACACATCTTCAGCTAACGCGTAAGAATATTTTTCTAGCAGCCTTTTTAGAAGTTTTGTTTAGTGAATATCAATTCTATCTTAATCTAATATATTCCAATTTTGTAGCTTGCTTTGCAAGAATGGAACTCTTGATCCGACAAAGGTTAAAGGAAAAATATTGGTTTGTCTTCGCGGTGAAAATGATAGAGCTGACAAGGGTGTGCAAGCTGCTCGTGCTGGTGCTGTTGGTATGGTTTTGGCTAATAACAAAGGAGAGAATGACATTATAGCTGATGCTCTTGTTCTTCCTGCTTCGCATATTACCTTTAAAGATGGAGTCTACCTTTTCAATTACATCAACTCCACCAAGTAATATATGCTCAATAAATTCTTCGTAATTTTACGAACACAATCTTGATTTTCTTACATAGCATATATTATGCAGGTGTCCTATGGCTTCAATTTCTAGAGTGAAAACACATATGGGTGTAAAGCCAGCTCCATTCATGGCTTCCTTTTCATCAAGAGGGCCTAATGCCCTTGACCCATCAATCCTCAAGGTTAAATATATGTTAGGTTTTTTTTTCTTCTGAAAAACTTGACTTTGATGTGAATTGTGTCATTGGAATTTTGGTTTAACGTGTTTCAGCCCGACATTACGGCCCCAGGAGTTGAAATAATTGCTGCTTTTAGTGAAGCTGCATCTCCTTCTGATCAAGCATCCGATAAACGCAGAACTTCTTACAATACTTTGTCAGGAACTTCAATGTCATGTCCACATGTTTCTGGCATTGTTAGTTTAATTAAATCTATTCATCCTGATTGGAGTCCTGCTGCTATTAAATCCGCGATTATGACCACGGGTAACATAGACTTTTTATTGATTTATATGGTTCTGGACTCTAATTTATCATACATCTTAATCTTAATCCTATTTTTGCAGCGAGCCTAAAAGATAATACTGAAAATTTTATGCTGGATTCGTCGCTGCAAAAGGCAACTCCTTTTGCATTTGGTGCGGGGCATGTCCAACCTAATCGCGCCGTGGACCCTGGACTTGTTTATGACCTAAATATCACCGACTACATGAACTATTTGTGCAACCGTGGCTACAATGGCTCTCATCTTAGTGCGTTCTACCGCAAGCCATATACTTGTCCGGAATCTTTCAGTTTAGTAGATTTCAATTATCCAACAATCACAATTCCTAACTTAAAGGTTGGACATCCTCTAAACGTGACTCGTACACTCACCAATGTTGGACCCCCAAGCATATATGTGGTTCTCGTCACAGCGCCTCGCAAGGTTTTAGTCTCGGTTGAGCCTAAGGTACTAAAGTTTAAGGAAAAGGGTGAAAAGAGAGAGTTTACAGTGACTTTGAGTTTGAGGTCTCTAACTAAGAATAAGAATAGTAGTAGTATTGGTTATGTATTTGGGAGGTTGGATTGGACTGATGGCAAGCATCATGTTACGAGTTCTATTGCAGTTAAGCCACAAAACTGAGGTTTCTGTCTTGTTTTATTTCTAGTCCATAAACAATTTTTGGAGGTGTGTAAGCTTCTTATAATGCATAAAGTGATTATAATTTATATCAATATACATGTTCATCTGGCTTGCATGTTTACCGTTAAAAAATACTACTACTTCCGTTTCTTTTTATAAAAGATAATTTACTTTTTAGATTTATTGAATAATCAATGTATCTAATCTGATCAATACATTGATTAATAAACCTAAAAAGTGAATTGTCGCTTATAAAAAAGAACCGAGGTAATATTTATTTAGGTAGGATTTGATTCTTTGATAGAATAGTCTTAAATATAAAAATCTAAGACTTTTAGTTAAGAGGAAATAAATTTTATACTATCTCATTCAAATACTCTTAAATATAAAAAAAGTATTTATATTAAATTTTTGTTTTTAAAATTTTATGCAATATTAATATTTTAATATTAATTATCAACAATACTTCTAATTATTTTTGTAGAGAAAAAAGTTTTTTTTTTATAATAAAAAATGGATTAAAACTAGAGCATTAGGGTACTCTAATCCAATACAACAGGAAAAAAAACCAAAGAATTAGAAGTCACATATGACTTTAAATAAGAGCTAAAAAAAATCTTAAAAATTACAGTTACTACGGATATTTCTACCTATTATTACACTCCATCTCCAAGCAGTTAGTTTAATGGATAAAACAATATCATTCACATTTACTACCTCATCTTGGAAGATGATTCTATTCCTCTTTGTCCAAATAATCCAAATCGTGGCCCACCAAATTAACGCTTCATGCCCATCTTTAATTTCCTATACATCTCCTTCTTGAACTGCTGCCAAAGAACCCAACTAGGTTGATCCAAATCAAACGAAAATTCCAACCCAATTCAAATGTTTCACTTTTTCCATATGTTCCTAGATACTTCACAATGGAATAATGTATGAAGACTATTCTATTCTTCCATGAAACAGAGGGCACAAACCATGGGGTTGATAAAAATTCCTCTACTAATTAATTGATCTTTGTTAGGAAGCCTATTAAGGAACAACCTCCAACTAAAAAAGCTTGATTTTTGGTGGAATTTTGATCCTCCAAACTTCAGACAGAGCTTCAACAAGAAAAGGTTTTAGGGAAAAAGAACCTATAGACAATAACCTTCACATATAAGCAAAGTATCATCAACATATCCTTGAAAAAAACTTCTGAACAATCTCCTAACTTCATGCCAAAAACATTTATCTGGTTGATGTCCTCTTCAAACTTAAGGTCAAGCCAACCAAATATCTCTCTATTCAAATTCCTAAGTTTTCACCTAATAATTTTGAGTTTTTATTTAATAACAAAAGATTAATATATTTTCTTTAATGTCTATATTATTCCAATTAGTCATAATAAAACCTTTGTGATCAAACCAGAAAAAAAAGTTATAGGATGAAATATTAAATAATTATATAAATTTCTTTTATTGAGTATATATATAACTATCATATATTTTAATGTCTACATTCGAATCTAGAATAAGGTGTCCAGTAAATAAAATTGACTATAGATCTTTTTTGAAGTGTTGCGTTACCATATTTTGAATGTGATCACATGTGTCATATTTAAAATTTTTTTTAGGTGATTAAGAAACAAATAAGGGCATGTGGCGCTTCCACTATGATATGACAAATGTTAAAGATTTTAAAAGTTTTTTATCTAAATCTTCTCTTCGAATGTACACATATGAAATTGATATCTTCTAAGTCCTACCGTTTCTAGTCTAAGCCTTGATCTATCAGAAGGCAATAGAAACTCCAGCTTAGTCTGTAGCAATTTACACACAATTATACCAAAGAAATCTTGGAGAAAACAAACTCTTTCTTTTTTCTTATTGGATTGTCAATCCCAACCACAACCACATCAGAACTGTGAACTTCAAATCTTCAAACCTTGACAAAGAATTTAAATCCAAAAAAACCTCCTCAAACCCAAGGTTGAGAAGTTAAACCAAAATGAAAATAGTAGAAGCTATAGATTTAAGATGAAGTGAAATTCCATACATAATCTCAAAGTAAAAACTCAAAATGGTATTTTAAAGTCTTGAAGAAAAAGTGTGTTGTGTAAAAAATTCTTTTTATACATACTAAAGGTGTTCTAAACAACATGAACAAGCGAAAGCATAAGAGATTGAGTTACATCTATCCATTCTTGTGTTATTGGCGAGTTTCGAACTCTGACTCCCACAACTTGTTTCGAGATTCTTTTATGATCTTTCTCTTACTCCTTGATGGTATTGGATTCTGAATGTGTGAGTGAGCTTAAGGACCCCAAAATGTTTGTATTTACAATCCAAATATTGAAAGTTTTACCCCATACCCCTACCCTTATACCCACACCCCTACACTAAAAAATATTGTACCAAAATATCCTTAGTTAAATATCTATAATCTTAACATTTTTCCACTTTCACTTCCATTTCTCACTTTCCATTTTAAGACTTCCGGAAGCTCTCAAATTTTGTTACAAACCGGAACTCTTACACAAACACTTCCGGAACACATTTCATTTGCAATACATACCGGAACACTAAGAGTAAGTCTTCCAGTTTGTATTTTGTTTTTGTTTCTTCACCGGAACTCTTTCATGAAGACTTTCGGTTCACAAACTTTTGAGTTTGTTCACCGGAACTCTTTCTTGAATACTTCCGGTTCAGAAAAAATTTTAGTTTAGTCACCGGAAGTCTTTCCTAAAGACATCCGGTTCACACAAAGTTTCGTTTCATCTCCGGAAGTCTTTCTTGAAGACTTCCGATTCATTGTTTTTTTGTTAATTTTTGTTTTCTAATTATATTTATTTATTTATTTTTTAATTTTTAATTATATTGATTTTTTTTCCAGTGGTGCGCACAAGAGGCAGAGATGGTAGGATCCCTCGTGGACTAGGACGGGGCGAGTCATCGAGGATGGCTGAAGAAGAGCATTTTGATGCATCTGCATCAGCATCCGAGCCGGTTGGATATTCCGGAGGACCGTATGATACGTCTCTGTTAGTTAAATACGAACAGCATGTTGCATACCGTATATGGTTCGGTGAGGTAAGTAAACGAAAATTATTTAATATTGAATAGAATTCGAATTTTTAATATTGAATTTTATAATAGTTTTACTTTTAATTTTTTTCAGGAGAGAGGGTCGAAGAAAGAGTTAAAGGTGGCGGGACATGGGTTAAAGTTGACTCAGAGGGTTCCACTACAGTTACCTAGAGAGATGGAGAGCTGGATATCAAGGTCTGGTCTAGCTTCACTTCAGAGAACCAGTTTAACAAAGATAGACACAAACCTAGTTTCCGCTTTTGCAGAGAGGTGGCATCTAGAGACATCTTCATTTCACATGTCGTTTGGTGAGATGACGATTACTCTAGATGACGTATCTTGCCTGCTTCACTTGGCCATCAGTGGAGTCTTCTGGAACCCTCAAGATATCAGTGAAGCGCTTGCTGTTGAGTGGGTTGTTGATTATTTGGGAGTGTCACAGAGAATAGCACATCAACAAGTCCGTGAGTGCAGGGGTTCCTACTATAAGCTGGAGTGGTTATATGATTGGTTCGTAGAGCACAGAGCTGCATCTCGATGGGATTATGCCACTAGAGAAGTTTACCTAGGCATACTTGTAGGGTCATTTGAAAACAGGTGGAGTCAAGGGTGGTTGAAAAATCATACTTGTAGGCTTGTTAAATTACCTAGGCATAAAAGGGTAATTGGGAACAAGTGGGTGCAAGTTGCGAGATCAAGATTCAAGGGTTGCTTGAATTTGATTAAAGTTATTGATTAAAGTTATTGATTAAAGTTTCAACTTGGTAGAGAACAACAATGTTGTTGATTGTTAAATTGGTATCAACACGGTTTAAAGTTAAGGTGAAGATTGTTGTAAACGTGTCTTAAAACCTTTGTTGATGAAGAGAAAGAAAACATATTTGGAGATTGCATTTACTATGAAAATCGGAAGAAAAGTCGGGAAAAATTCTGTCGGTGAATAGTATCATCTGTATGATGAATAGTGTTATATGTACGTATGAATAGTGATGTTCGTACGATGAATAGTGTTGTCCGTATGATGAATAGCGTTTTCGAGTTTTCGGGCTTTTTTGATTCAATCTAAGGATCCATGTGATTTTAGGCTTTGTTTGTTGGGTATTTGCTATTATAAATATGTATCTCTTATATTCTTGGTGTGTGACAATCTTAGAGTTTACACAAACAAGGGAGAGCAAGGGTTTAAAGCTATATCGTACGGTTTTAGCTATGCACAAAGAAAATCTTGGATTACACCTTGGGTTTGAGTGATTCATATATTGAGAGTTGGAGAGGTAGGGAAAAACTTGGGTAGAAAATAGGGTTGTTCTTGGGAACCTGAAGGCGAAGGCTATTTTCTTGTAACTCATGTGTAATCTCTTGTAACAACTTTTTGAGTATAGTGAATTGAATAGCTGCTCTCTCCCCCAGAGTAGATCGTTTGATCAAACTGGGTAAATAAACCTTCGGTTTTTCTTGCCTTATTTTGTTATATTATTTGTGTACGGATTATTATTGTTGGAAACCATTTATTTTGGTTTCTATTGTTCTTTGCCTCACAAATTGATATTGAATTTTGTCGTAATTCACAACAAGATTCATAACAGAACAAGATTTGTTCATGACATTTATTCCTTAGGTTTTGATGATAACAAAAGTATTAATTGAATAATGGTTATATTTGATGTGTGTTTCATGTATGCAGACTCTGAAACACTCTCTAAGTGATGTCTAGTGTAGACTCTGAAGCTATAGGTATCAACATCAAAAGAAACAACATAATTGTCTTTACACTTGGTGAATGTAAATTGGCTTCTGGTGATCATTCAGAGTTAGTGATAAAGCTGAAGCTATTCGTACTGCAGTAAGCAAGCTGCATTGTCAAATCAGTTTGTCCTCTAAAGTCCTAGTTCACAAGGCTGAAGAAAATTTAGTATGCTTTACGAATAT